GAGACTCCATCTTAAAAAAAAAATGGACAATTTTTTTTTCTTTTTCACCCCAAGGAATCTAGTTTGTAGCCATTCAAGCCAAGTGCTCTTGGTGTTTGGATGAATAATTTTGTTTTAGTTGTTACAGCAAGCATCAGAGTCGGAAGTTTTAGACATTGATGGAGGCTTTCCAAAGCTTCTAGCTGTGGTGACAAGACCAGGTGAGGGGTGGGGATGAAGTTAGATTGGAAAATGGGGGGTAGCAGAAGAGAGGGAGGATAAGCAGCATGATGAGGTATCTGAGGTTCTTACAAGATTCACAGTTTGATGTAGAATTTAAAGCCTATTTTGGGTCCTAAAATGGAATTCCCAAACTGTGATATTCTTAGTCACGTTCTTCTGTAAGATTTCTGTTGCTTCTTACAGATTCCACCTGAGAGAAATTGTCTCTCTAATGTCTGTATTTCTGAAATGTCATTCCTTTGTTCAATCAACCAGTGTTACACGGAGGGCTTACCAAGAGGGAATCACGGATAGCCATATGGTCTAAAGATTTCCCATCCACCACCGCCCGTCTCCCTCTTCCCATCCTGACTGGGCTTCTAGCTGCCAGCTCAGCATCTGCACATGGAGACCTCCTGGACATTTAAAACTCAACATCCCCAAAACTAATCTCTTGATACTTCTCTTCCAGCCAAATCCTCTCCTCTTCCAGGAGTTCTCATCTTAAGAAACGGCACCTCCATCCACCCACTGGCTCCAGCCAAAACCTGGGAGGTGTTCTTTCCATTTCTTTCCACTTCTCTCCTAAATTCACCCAGCAGCAAGTCTTGTTGCTCCCTTCTTCAAGATACACCTTGAGTCCACATCCACTCTTCCATGCCACCTGTCAAGCCCCAGCTGCCATCATCTCTCCCCGGGACTAGGTCAATGGAACTAGTTTCCATTCTCCACTCAGCAATCAGAAAGAACTGACGTATAAAGGACAGCATGCCGCTTCTCTGAGTGACATCTTTCAATGGCTCCCTCTGGCATTTGGAACAACACGCAGGCTTTTTGCCTTGGCCTGCAAGGTCCTGCACAATTGAGCTTCTTTCTGCCTTTCTGACCTCGTTTCATCTCTTCCTCCCCTCACTCTCCATTCTTTGGCTACACAGGCCTGCATTCGGATCCTTACATGCACTCAGCATTTGCCGGTCTTGGTGAGTTCACACACTCCGTGCTTTCTGCCTGCCCATCCCTCCCTTTTAGCCTCTGTTACTGCCCATAGCCCTCCTGCACTTGTCTGTCCTGTCTCATCTCAAAGCACTCAGCTAAGTTCTCAGAAAGGCTTCCATCATCTGACAGGATTTGGTTGCGTCTCCACCCAAATCTCATCTTTAGTAGCTCCCATAATTTCCACATGCTGTAGTAGGGGTCGGGTGGGAGATAATTGAATCAACACTATGGCCGTTTCCCCCATAGTGTTCTGGAGGTAGCGAATAAGTCTCATAAGATCTGATGATTTTATTAGGGGAAACCTTTTTCGCTTGGTTCTTTCATTCTCTCTTGTCTGTCACTATGTAAGACCTGCTTTTCTCCTTCTGCCATGATTGAGGCATCCCCAGCCATGTGGAACTGTGAGTCCATTAAACCTCTTTTTCTTTATAAATTATCCAGTCTCCAGTATGTCTTTAACAGCAGTGTAAAAATGGACTAACACACACCTCAATTAGCTCTCCCCTCTTCTCTTCCTTCATATGCTCTATCAATATTTGCCATTGCTACTGATTTGTGCATTCTTTTAGTTTAAAGCTGTCTACAATGAAGGTGGGGACCATGTCTGTCTTAGTTATTGTTTTACTATTGATGCCCAGCACATAGTAGGTGCTCAGTTAATTCTGACAGAATGAAATGACAAGTAGCTGAACGTGAGGGTGCATGAATGCATGAATGAATGCCATTTTGAGCTTCCAACACGTGTAATCATATAAAATAGAACAAGTTTGAGACTTTAAAGAAGGCCACTCCAGCCTGCACCATTTCAGCCGCTGTAGGAACATGCGTTATTCGCGTCACAAAGACATGGCTTGAGTAAGTGTACATCCAAACAAGGATTTTTACATTTTCAAAAACTCTTGCTATTTCCTGAAACAGATTGTGTCTCTCTGATTGTCTATTAAGTTTTTTTTTTAAACTGCTGAGGAACTTGGAACTACACCAAAGTAATCTGCATTTCCATTTTTATATTTTAATTTATAAACTGCGCCTTATAATTTACAAGCACTCACTTACTTAGTGTCTCTAGCAGAGCCGAAACAAATACTAACTCTGCCAGCCCTGCTACTCCAGCCTGCTCTCTGTGCCATTCCTATCGGGAACTTTTGAGTTTTTCAGGTTGGAGAGGGTGGGCTGGAGCTAGCCCTAGCGTGGGGAAGTTAAGGTTAGTAACAATGATGATATGTCACATTTATTTAGGAAAGGGTGACGAAGGGCTCTTTATTCACATTTTATAGATGAAAAAATAGAAGCTGGAGATGGGAATCACATGACCAAGAAGGTTTGCTTGTGACCAATGAACCGGGCCGACTGTCTGCATCTCTGGAATTCCTCACGCCAAGGGCCTTTCTGGAACGCTAAGCCAGGCTCTCTCAACCTCAGCTCTAGCACCATTTTGGCCTGGATCGTTCTTGCTGAGTATTGCAAGGTGTTTAGTAGTATCCTCAGCCTCTACACATTAGACGCCAGGGGGACCCATTCTAAATGTCTCCAGGCATGGCCAAGTGTCCCCTGAATTACTCACGACTGAGAGCCACAGTACAAGACGGTGGTCATGACTTTGATTAAAATGGAGGCACAGAAGTCAGGAAAACCCGTCTCCCCTCACAGGGGAGCCTCTCCCCCGACTTCTCTACAATCTAGCCACATAGAACTCTGCTCCAACACTCAGTGCCTCCTTTGTGGTATTAAGCGCTTTACTTTCTTGATCTCATTTAACCCCCCAAAATGGTTACAACAACCTCTTGGTTACAGGTGAGGAAATGAGGTTTAGAAAGATCACAAGTTGCACAGCAGTGAGTAGCAGGCTGGGACTACACAATGACACAGCAATGAGTGGCAAGCTGGGATGCAAACCCCAACCTGTCTAGTCCTGGGGCCAGCGTTTAGCTACCCCACCCTGCCCCCTGCCACCCTTCCCACTCTCACAGGTGAGAAATAGATTTTCTTTTTCTGGGTCAGCAGGGAGTGCTGTTTCAGAAGCCTCGCTCCTCTGCTCTGTAGAGCAGTAGTGCCTCCCTCCTAAGGCAAATGTTTTTCAGGTGCACAGCACACATCCATGATTGTGGGTCTGCATGTCTGTCGCCGTCCCCAGGCTGTGGTCTGTGTCCTGAGCCCCTAACACTGGGCCTTGCTGAGTACAGCATTTGTAAAAGACGTTTTCCATACAGCAGCGAGGATTAGACACAGCAGCCAGTTGTGGAGTATGAGCCCCCTGGCCATGTCCTCTGTGACCTTGGGCAAGATAAAAACTTCTCTGAGCCCAATATTTCCACCCATACAATGGAAGGACTCATTTCTTAGGACAGATGGGAGAATTAAATGATGATAAATGCAGACTGGTTTGCACTGATGCCAGGCAGGCGCTGGACACATGGTCCCCAGCAGGGAGTGTCTAACTCCCTACATGAAGTTGCCTACACAAAGCTCCCTTTCATTCCTGAACCTCTCTTGGCCAGTCTGTGACCCCCATGTAACCAGTGGAGTTACCCTTTTAGGGTTGCCTGTCCAGCTAGACTGTAAGCTCCCTGAGGACAGGGGCTGTTCCTTTGTTCCCTCCCACAGCGGCCAGCCTGATAGTGTTCTCATGGATCCTGTCAATGGATCACCAACAATAATTGCTGAAGAAGCAATAGTGTGATTCCTATTTTTGCATTGGATACTGCCTTTTCAGGGTAGGTTTTAGCATCTGCAATGCTTTTCCTCGGTTTGCAGCGGAACAGTGGTGCTGTGATTCCCTTCTTCGAAAAGTTCAGGCTATTAGCCATTACTCTGCTTCTGCTTTGGTCATTTTCTTTGATTTCCCCAGCCGTACACTACCTGTGTTAAGATTCCAGCTCATTGCTTCAAACGCAAGGATTTGAAGAGGGGCTCAGGAGGGCCTAGTTAGCTAGCCTTTAAGGCTCAGATGCCCATCCTACCCATCCAGGAGCTGCTGGACCGCCGGCCAGTCAGGATGCTTTCTGGACTTCAGCAGCCTCATCAGTAAATTAAGGATATGGATGGGACCTGCCTCAAAGGGTAAGGACATGAAGAGCACAGTGGCTAGAAGGTATCACACCCTTAGTCTCTACTAACCCTCGTCTGATTGGGGCAGTGGGGTGGCCCGTGAGCAGCTGAGCGAGGGGAAACTTTCCCGGGCTTTCCAGCTCTTTAGCAGGCAGCAGGCAGGGCCCAGAGCGCCGGGCGTGCAGGCTGCAGCGGCTTTGCTTCCGCACGTTCCTCCCATCGGGAAGGCTGGCTGGCTTCAGTAACCCCTGGTGCTCTGGGAACGGGAGCCAGACCTCACTGCCCCACCGCAAAAGACGCGCAAAGCCACCCCCCTGACCCTGCTGCAATCACTTCAACATTAACAAAGGCTGCTCAAAAGTCTCTCCTCTTCAAAGCACCCAGGGCTGCCTCCCCCCCCCCCACGGTAATCAACCCAGTTCTCCACACCCCCCACCCCCCGACTTTATTTATTATCTGCCAGAAAGGACCCCAGTGCCCTCCCCGGGTTATACCCCTGGAGGGAATGCAGGCATCGGATCCTCTACTGCTCGCCAGGCCCCCAGGGGATCTCCGCCAGGCTCGGCCCCTCCCCCAAGGTCACCCAACTTTTCCCTCCGTCCCCGCGCCCGGGCCGGGGCGGGAGGGGGTGGCGGGATGGGGACCGGGTGGGGCGCCCTAGGGGCGGCGCTGGCCCCCTCCCCCGCGGGGCGGGCCCCGCCATGCATTATTCATTGGCCAGAGCCGGGCTGCGGGCGCGAGTGCTGATGTCAGGCAGGCGCGAGTGCGGCGGGCGCAGCGGCGGCGGCCGCCCAGCAGCCCGGGCTCGGGTGGGGGGGCGCCGAGTGGGGGTGGCGGCCAGCATGCTGCTCGGCTGCGGCTCGGCCTCCCACACCCGCGGCGCCCTAGTCCTCGCCAGCAGCAGCGGCGGCGGAGCAGCGAGCGGCGCCCGCATCTGCAGCGGCGCCGGGTCCGAGCGCGCGGCGCGGCGGCGGGGGTCGGGGCCCGGGCGGGGAACGGGGACCCGGCATGGCGCTGCGGAGAGGCGGCGGCGGGGCGCTCGGGCTGCTGCTACTGCTGCTGGGCGCCGCGTGCCTGATCCCGCGGAGCGCGCAGGTGAGGCGGCTGGCGCGCTGCCCCGCCACTTGCAGCTGTACCAAGGAGTCCATCATCTGCGTGGGCTCTTCCTGGGTGCCCAGGATCGTGCCGGGCGACATCAGCTCCCTGTGAGTGGGACCCCTCCAGCCCCCACCCCGCCCTGCCCCACCCTGCGCCCGCGGCCGCGAGGGAGTTGCCTCTGGCTGCTGAGGCAGCGCGACCCTGACCTACTCCCCAGGGCCCTTCTTTGCGTTGGGTGGGGGACGTGGGTGGAGTGTTGGCACCGGGGAGGACGGTGAGAACCTGAAAACCAGACAGGTCCCTGGGGCAGTGTTTCTCACAATGTGGCCCGCGGGCCACCTGCATCAGACTCACCTGGGGAAGCTTGTGCCAATGCAGAATCCGGCTGCTCTGAAGCTGTCTTTGGAGCGCAGCCCTGTAGAGTGCATCTCACGTCCCTGGGCGACTCAGAGGTGCATTAAAGTTTGAGAGGGGGTGTGTGTGTGTATGTGTGTTTGCGGGTTGGGGTTGTGTGATTGTGTAGGCGCAACTGAACACGACCTGATTGAGTGCAAACTGGGAAGAGTGAGGCCTCACCGCCCCACGTCAGGTCTGGGGTGAACGTTCACCCGTGGCCCCCTCCTAACTTCTCCACATCACAGGTTGCACAAAGCCGAGGTCAAGGCAGGCAGGCTCTGGGAGCTGAGGGGTTGCCCCACGTGGCCTGGAAGAGGGGGTCACAGAAGGCCTGGCAGAGGTTTACAGCATGTTGGGCGCCTAGCCCAGTGGCCAAGTGCTTTGAAGCCAGCCTGACTTCTTGCCCTGAGGTCAGGAGGGCTACTTGCCCCCTTTCCCCATCACACAGTTGTGTTGGCTGCGTTTTCAGCAGGAGGAGCCCACAGGAAAGGGCTTCACATGATTTATCCACCTGCCAAAAGGTGCTTTCACCCTGCCCCCACCTGGCCACTCACGCCAAACGACCAGCTCTCATAAGGGCTGTGGAAGGGGCTGGTTGGGCTGGATTTTTACTGCTAGGACGTTTCCTGCTAAGACCACTCTACTGTTCCAGGCCAAGGTGCCTGGGTGCCCATTCAGCGGTGGAGGCAGGGAATCCCCGGGGTGACGTTGCTTGCACTCAAGATACTTTCTTGTGTCCAGTGCTCCCACACCATCGACCCAAGGCAAATTGTAGGGGCCTGGACCCGGGAGTGAGGGGGTTTCCGTTTGCATTGATAGAAAGTCAGAAGAGTTTGGCTGGTGGGAACAGAGGACCTTTTGGATATTGCCAAGTTGGGTGACATGGAGGATTCCAGAAATTAGAGTTCCCTGTATTAAATCCTTCAGACCAGCAGCAGCTGCTTAAGTGATCTGCATGTGAGCTGAAAGGAATTCTGAAATAATGTATTCAGATCCTGCTGTGGCCAGAAAGGATAGGGACCTGGGGGCAGAAATAAAGCCAAGCAATCTTGCCAGCTAGTTGACCCTTTTATCTGGCAGATGGCACTGCCTCTTCCCACATAGGGGACTTCAGGTGTTTGTGAGTTTTTCCCCAGGGCCTTCATGGTGCATTTAATCAGAAGTGCTCCGACTGTCTTTCAGAGACGGGCTCCGGATAGGAATGCTTAATCCTACTCCATGTTTCATAGGTCAACAGTAACGCAATGTCTACACAAACAGAATCAGGGGCGGAGATGAAGCGATTATCCATTTTCAGGCAGGGGCCTCCTGTAGTTAAGAAAAGGAAGTGAGGGGATTGATTGAAACCGACTGAGATAATGTCTGGGGAAGGAGCTGATGGTAAAGGTTTCTGTTATTCAGACTAGTTTTCATATTGATCTTATTCATTGGGAAGTGGCTTGTCTCTTCTCCTTCCTACCCTGGGAAAGATCCTGGCCAACTGTGAGTCAGGGTTTGAAGTACAGGTGCAGGCAGAGGTTGATTGCCCACCCTGCCTGACTTCCTAATAGAAACCTATACCTACTTTTACCCATCTTTTGCCCATAGGAGCCTGGTAAATGGGACGTTTTCGGAAATCAAGGACCGAATGTTTTCCCATCTGCCTTCCCTGCAGCTGCTGTGAGTATGGGAAGATACCTCTGCGCAGTGGGGGGCCCTGAGGTGCCATCCTTGAAGGGCGGTCTCTGCCTCTTCGGTATGAGCCCTTCCCAAAGTACCCCAGCTCCATGAGTAGATCATGGCTGCCTCTTGGTGTTAATTTACCCTATGGTGCCCCCAGCAAAGCACTGAGGCTCCCTGCTCAGTTTTCTTTCCTTAGTGTGATATTTGTTTTCTTCAAAGACCTTATCGTAGACCCCAGCATGTAGATCTAGTAAATGGAGAGAGGTGATTGCTTTGACTCGTGACCTGAACATCACCTAAATGCACTGTTTCCCAAACACCTCAGTTTAAAAGAAAACTTCATTTTAAAATCTGAATGTTACTCTGGAAATAGGAATGTTTCTAGTTTACTGAGAACTAAAACCAGTCAGGCAGCATACTATGAACTTACGTGCATAATTTTATCACACCATTCCCACAATGAAGGCGTGTTGATAATCCCTTTTGATAAGGAAACTGAGGCTCAGGGAAGTTAAGTGACTTGCCCCAAATCAGAGCCAGGATTCCAGCCCAGGACCAAAAGCTCTCACTCATACGTATTCCTCATTCCAGCTTGTCTCTGTGAGCAATGCCCAAGGCACTGTGGCGTGCCCTGTAACCCAGCCTGGGTAATGTTTACCGGTGAAAAGAAATGTCCAAAAAGCAGTTTTCAAAAGCAAATCAGTGACAGGCAAAGTATGAGTACACACCTCATTCTCTTTATCTATGTTGGTTTCTTAAATCTGAGATGAGATTGAAATTAAAACAAGCGATGTGCTATAGAAAATTTTGATAAATGGACCAGGCGCAGTGGCTCATGCCTCTAACCCCAGCATTTTGGGAGGCCAAGGCAGGCTGATCATGAGGTCAGGAGATTGAGACTATCCTAGCCAACATGGTGAAACCCCATTTCTACTTAAAATACAAAAATTAGCTGGGCGTGGTGGCATGTGCCCGTAGTCCCAGCTACTCAGGAGGCTGAGGCAGGAGAATCGCTTGAACCCAGGAGGCGGAGGCTGCAGTGAGCCCAAGATCGCGCCACTGCACTCCAGCCTCGAAGACAGAAAGAGACTCTGTCTCAAAAACAAAACAAAACAAAACAAAAAACAACAAAAAAACTTGGGTAAATGGAATATAGGAGATCACTATTCATCCTAACACGGGTAGTCTTGATACTTTTGTCCTTGAAATGTTACATGCCTACTTTTCACATGATACTTAACTTTTTAAAATCTGAGGTCTCTTAGGAATTGCAGTGCTATTAAAATACACTTTCCATACAATAGAAATATAATTTAGGTATTCTTTTGCCAATTGAGTTGGTGATGGCTCAAATAGAAAACTGTACAGTGACAGTCTTCTGAAAGTTTCTTAAACAAACTGTTTTGTTTTGTTTTGTTTCCACTATTTCTTATGGGAGTGTATAATGTAGTAGAAAAGGTTTTTCTGTTTTTTGTTTTTTCTTGGTCTCAGCTGTGTGACTTTGGTCAAGTCACTTAACTTCTCTGGGCTTATATTTTCCTAAAAACAGATTTGGATGAGATCTTTTTAGATCTCTAATTTTATGATTGCTTGTATACCATAGGGCATTCACTGGCCATTTAGTTGTGCTGAGTATTATAATGTTTTAAAATAACAGGCATCAGGTCATATTTACTGAAACACACAGGGAAGAAAGGAGCAGAGTTCTGGAGATGACAAGAAAATCTGGTCAAAAGGGATCCACTTGCCACTGTCTCTAAGAGCAGGCTGTGAGAGTCAGGTTTCTGACAACCAAATGGATTCTTCTCAGGCTAACAAGACCTCATGTTAAAATGTAGCAAAAGAAATAGAAATGGCCTTGCATGTGACTCAAGTTTTACGTCTCTGCATTGGAATCTGTCTCTTACTTTCAGATTGCTGAATTCTAACTCATTCACGATCATCCGGGATGACGCTTTCGCTGGACTTTTTCATCTTGAGTATCTGTAAGTTTTGCGCTTTGTCTGTTTGCTGAACATCTGGTACCTTGGTAGAATTTCTGGTTTCTATGCTGGAATGGCATCTCTGCAAGGGTCTAGGGGTGGAGAAAGTGGAGAACACCCCATTCTCTTTTCAGCACTGACCTTTTGTAGTTGACTTGCGTACGAACATGCTGGGGCAGGAGGAGGCTGGAGGCAAAGAGGGAGAGACGAAACAAAGAAGGAGAGAGGTTCATTCATTCTCTGCTGACATTTAAGTCGTCATGTAGTAAGCACAATTGGAAATTGCATTGGATATTTTTAACTCTCATAACTAAGCATGGATTTGCTGATCAGCCGGAAATAGAGTTGCGGGGTTTTGAGGGTTACGGATTTTTAATAAAGCCTCCCTATTTGGGGGGTACAACTTCATGTTGTTCATTCACTGGCCTACATCTCTTTTGCAGTATCTCCTATGAATTGCTCCTGAGGGTCTAATTTTATTTTATTGTTTCCCTTTAAAATAAAAAGGTGATTTTTCCCTTTTGTGATGTGCAGGTCTTTCCCCTCGCAGTGAGCTTTGCCCTTGTTCTGATTTCTGCCTTTTCTTCCTTTCATGTCTTTTTTCCCCTTGAAGTTCTTTCATCCTTGTCTTTGGTAACTTTGTAATAATGTTAATCCTGCTCTCAGATGGGATTTCCTCACTTAGAATTCAGAGAGATTTTTAAAGCCTCGTCTCATTTTCTTGTCTGAGTTCAACAGGTAGTTTTAGAATTCTAGACACATCTCAGGTATAAGAAAGGTCTCTGCTGACTTTGTGTCCTGAGGAAAGATGTCCCTGAGGAATTTTTTTTCTAGAGTATACATAATATGTGTATTCTCATAATACTCTGATGTGATGGTATACGTAGTATAGAAAGTGTTGCACAACTGCAATGCTAAATCTGGCTAGGGTCTGTGAAAACCCATACATAGCCAATGGAGGTCGTGGTTGTAAAGCTATGAGTTTTCTCTTACAGGGAGTTCATCTTATGGTCACGGTTATTGGAGAGGAAGTTAGCTCATCAGTTTATGCTGAAGTCTATTACTGAAGAGACACCTCACTTTTAAAAACCATCAGTGAGCTCTCGTTGCAGGAATCAAGAACTAATTCATTGATGGTGTTGTGTTACAAAGCCCCACTCACGGAGCATCTCATCCAAGACCCTCTTACACTTGATTTCATGTGTTGCTATCAACTAAAATTTAGTTCTCCCTGGGCCTAGAGAATAGTCATAGTGAAGTCACATCCGTTCTTTCCCACAAAGACCTTAAAGCATGGCCAGTGCTATTACTGCAAGATCCCATGTGCAAGCCCGATGGAGCTTTAGTACAGAGAAAGAAGTATCGTCTCTACTCAACTTCATTATCCTTCCTACTTCCTTGTGGCTTAAAGAGCTTGGGCTTTTCCCTGCCTTGTCACCCATTTGTTTGGTGATTAGATGACGTAGGGCACAATATAAACTCAAAGTTGCTGAAAACCAAGCTTGATGGAACTCTCCCTCTGCAAAGAACTTTAATAAGGAGATGGAAAACAAGGAACCCTCTCAAGGGACAGTGCTACTAACAGAAGTACGAATAGCCAGACACCGTGCAATGCGGAAAATGTCTGGAAGCACTCCAGTCTTGCAGGGATATGAGACATTCTTGCCTTTGTATACTGTTTTCTTCTTTATTTCCCTCCAAGATTTTTTTTTTTTTTTTGAGATGGTGTCTTGCTCTGTTGCCCAGGCTCGAGTGCACTGGCACGATCTTGGCTGACTGCTACTTCCATCTCCCGGGTTCAAGTGACTCTCCTGCCTCAGCCTCCAGAATAGCTGGGTCTACAGGCACATGCCACCACGCCTGACTAATTTTTGTATTTTAAGTAGGCATGGGGTTTCACCATGTTGCCCAGGCTGGTCTCGAACTCCTGAGCTCAGGCAATCCGCCTGCTTAGCCTCCCAAAGTGTTAGGATTACAGGTGTGAGCCACCGCACCCAGCACCCCCAAGATGTTTTTACCCATGTTGCCAGCTCAGAATTTGAAGACTTCCACGCCGCTCTGGAAGGAGTGCACACCACACACTCACGTGCATGCCTTTTTGCACACGCCCTGCTACCGTGTGGAATTTGGTGTAGCTGACCTAGCCTTCAGAGATAAATCCTTATAATCCAGGAATGCTTTTAGATTTTATTCTGAAATCTTACTGATACAGTTTTTAAAGAGATACTAAGGAGAAAAAAATCATTCTAATTATACAACTTTTCCTCTTAGGTTCATTGAAGGGAACAAAATAGAAACGATTTCAAGAAACGCCTTTCGTGGCCTCCGTGACCTGACTCACCTGTAAGTCTTATGAAAAGTATTGTAAGTCTTTTAACGTGTGGAGTAAGATTCATTTCCTGGGGCCTCCCTGTTTCTTGACTGTTATTTCCATATTGTAATAGTCCTTGAAGGAAACGAATTTCTAGATTACCCCAGAAGTTTCTATGTTGTCAATCAGACACTGGCTCATTGTGACTACTCACATACTTGTCTTTATTGTCATCTCTAGCAACCTGAATTGCAGTGATAGACCACATGACTGTGTGTGAATTAAGGAGCAACCTGGGGTGTGAGGGGCTTGTGTCACTTGATGGAGGAGATGGGAAAGCCACGATTTTTTTTTATCCCAGGCTAAAGTGCAATGGCACGATCTCAGCTCACTGTAGCCTCCACCTCCTGGGTTCAAGACATTTTTATGCCTCAGCCTCCCGAGTAGCTGGGATTACAGATGCCTGCTACCACGCCCAGCTAATTTTTGTATTTTTATTAGAGATGGGGGTCTCACTATGTTGGTCAGGCTGGTCTCGAACTCCTGATCTGAAGTGATCCACCTGCCTCGGCTTCCCAAAGTGCTGGGATTACAGGCATGAGCCACCGCACCCAGTCAGGAAGGAAATTAATGTGAGTCTTATACCTGCTTGGCACCAGGCACAGGGCTGGGTGCTTAGTGAGCCTTCTCTTCTTTAGCTTTCATAATAATCTGTGAGTTCCCATTTTACAGATTTTGGAATCTAGGCTTAGATGACTAAGTGGAATGTTGGATGAGAATTAGGACAAAGTGGAATAGAGACATTTTCATGGCTCTTCTCATTTGAATGCAAATCACTTTTTTTTTTTTATGTTGGGTTAATTTGTGGTTTCAGCTAAGCTCTCTGGTTCTGTAAGAGCTTTCTGGAGATAAAATTAAACAAATCGATTTGAAATTGACTTATCAGAATGAAGCAAGTATACGCACTTAGAAAATTGATAAAATTTACAAAACTAGAAAAAATAGTGGCTGTGTTTATGAAAATATAAAAATACTCATTGCCTTGATAGGAGTAATTCGTTAGCCAGGAACCAGGTCCCTTTTGCGTGATGGATATTCTGCGTTTGAGTAAGAGAACATGTCTCCTCTCCGTAGTCAGCCTGCCTGCCATAAGGATAGTGGGGAAACTTGGAGGATTTCGACGGGAAGTGTCGGGCAGGGATGGTAGTACCTTCAGCGTGTGTAACCATGACTGGTACAGTGTGGACATAGTCATCTAATGGGGTAACCATTCACATCAAGCCTTGATATTTGCAAAGGGGTCTGTCCATAGGCCTAGCAAGCGCTTGGTTCTGGAATGCCCACAAGCAGACACTCTGCCTGAGTTAAAGCTTATGGGGTAAGGAGGGAACAGACGTGGGAGGCCCAAACATCCGTGTCAGCATAGTTGGTACTGGAGAATGTCCGAGGTCTTCATTTCTTCCTAAAAAAGCCTTGATTGTTTTTCAGATTCAAGCTAAGTGTCAAATCCCCAGATTCCTGTAGAGGCTACAGTCGTGCGCTTGGTGTTGTATAGGCTCGGGTTCAAATCTCAAGGCCATGATTTATTAATATTGCTTAACTCTGCTGAGACTTAATGTCCTTCTATTAAAATAGTAATAACTATACTGATTCCATGGGATTGCTGTACATAAAGGGTTAATGCTTGCTTGCGAAGCATCTGGCCCATTATTCATGGTAAACGCTCAAGGCACAGCCGGCGTCATCATCACATCATTCCTTCCCTCCACGCATTAAGAAGTCCCCATTTCCTTCATGGTCCATCAAGTATCTTTGACAGTAGCAGTTTGGGTGGCCAGACAGGGTCTGCTAAGAAGACAGCTGTGGGTGTCTGAAGAGGAACAGCTGTGGCCAGATGAATCTGGTTCCCAGAAGTCAGGAATTGGAGGCTTTGTATTTGAGCAAAAGCTCTGGGCAGATTATAAACCTAAAGCAAATCCCGTGTGAGGGGCTGAGTTAGCCCAGATGACAACTTTCATTTGCTCACATGGCTACGGTTCTTCCATCAGCAGCAGAGTGTGAGCAAGCAGGTATCATGTACAGACATTTGCATGTCTTCGTGCAGGTGTACAAAGTGTCCTTGGATGCATGGACTTACATACATGAGTGTACATAGCTGTGTTCATGTGTGCATGCTTATGCATTTCTTTCATGTGTACGTGTGTGCAAGAGGCACCTCCTTTTCTGTGGTATGCACAGAGAACACAAACACAGGGAGTGAGGGATTCCTGCCCTGGGGCCCAGAGAGCACAAATGCGTTAGGGAAGAACCAGCTCATCTCAGTGAGTAGGACGACCCTGCAGTCAAGCCCACAAGTCAAGCCTCTTCTCAGCTCTCTAACTTCATCTCTCTGAGTGTCCTCAGAACGTCAAGCTCTCAGTGCTCCCCCATGCTCACCTACCTTGTCCACCGCTTTTCCTCACATGCTCTCCCTTGCCTGGGATGCTGTTTCTCCTGCCCGTCGTCTCTTGGAATCTCTTTTCTTTCAAAGTCCAGATTAAGTTCAACCTCCCTCGTTAAGACGTCTCCATCTGCCTCTTCACTCCTGCCATTGGCTTCACGCAACCAGCACTTTACTGTCTACGATGGCCATACTGGCTGCTGCTGCAGCCTGGCTGCTGGTTTTATCTCCCAGCATGTTGGAAGCTCCAGGAAGGCAGGACTTTCAGTGATCCTCCCTTAGCTCTGTTCTTCCCCAGTGCCTAGCGCCAGGCTCAGCCAGCAGGACGTACTTTCTGATTTGCTAATTGATGGATGGCTTCTTAATGGAGTTGGATTTTCCATATGTGCTCTACTTCTGGGCAAGTCAGGCGAGATTTTTTTTTTTTTTTTTTTTGTGATGGAGTCTTGCTCTGTCACCCAGGCTGGAGTGCAGTGGTGTGATCTCAGCTCACTGCAATCTCTGCCTCCTGGGTTCAAGCGATTCTCTTGCCTTAGCCTCCCAAGTAGCTGGGACTACAGGTGTGTGCCACCATGCCTGGCTAATTTTTTGTATTTTTAGTAAAGATGGGGTTTCACCGTATTAGCCAGGATGATCTTGATCTCCTGACCTCATGATTCACCTGTCTTGGCCTCCCAAAGTGCTGGGATTACAGGCATAAGCCACCGCACCCAGCTGTCAGGCAACTTTTAAAGTTGACTCTTCTAGGTTGGAGATGTATTTAGTAATTCAGGTATTTAATATATTGTTTAAAGAATGAACCAGTTCAGCTCCCTCCTTTTTTTAAAAACCTCTAAGCTAAGAGAAGATACCAAGTCTCTAATGTTCACTCCTGTGCTTATAAAAGTTCCTACTTGGAATTTGCTTAATTCAGTTAAGCAGCTGATTTTTATCTTTTATGCTTACAGACTCACATGCCTAGGAAAAGAGACGCAGATCAGGTTTCAAAGCGTTGAAGGAGCTCTGCCAATCTGTAACTAAAATCTAGAACATTTGTTTCCAGCAGTTCCGTGAAGCCCAAGGGACATGGAGCTGTTAAATAGTTTTAGAAATAAAGTTAAGTGCCATGATTTGTAGGCAAAATGAAGTGGAAAGGCAGGTGTTAAGCACTTAGTGTGAGTGGGGTGAGTAACCCATCTGAATAATTCTGCTTTCTGAAATCTAAATTGAACACTTGGAACATTGCTAAACACTTTTTTTTTTTTTTTTTTTTGGCTTTGATCATTCCATGTATACTTAGCATTTCAATAGAATAACTTTCAATTAGCTGCAGTTTTTAGCTAACAATGTTAATTAGCTAAAACATTTTTGTACTTTACTTTCCAGAAAATGTAACCATCAACCAGGAAAAAAAAATCAAAACAAATACTCCCTTTTAAAAATTTCCAACAGACCTTTCAGTGTCGCTTCAGTCTGATGACATATTCAGCCTATTTTCCAACACAGTTAAAAATAAACAAATACATCATTTAGAAAAGAGAGGTAAAAGAGTACACGAAATTTTATTTAAATTCATTTGTGGTTACCTAGATAGAAAGGGGCACAATTCAGAAACTATGGCTCTTCCCATATCCAGTTGATGTCTTGAAGGAAGAGTGTTTGGGATCCAAGCTTTCTACTCTGCTCAGCTAACCGGCTCTAGGTAGGAATACCCATTTCTTTAATTCATCTTTCTGGGATGGGTCGTTAGGATGATACAAAAGATGCATTTCAGATATATCTTAAATAGATTGGTGCTGAATTGCTTACATGCTTATCATTTATATGTTTTGCTGCTGGCATTCATATGTGTAAAAGAAAACAAAAGTAGGCATCGGCTTCTTGGCTGACTCACATTAGAGTGCAGCGCCTGGGGAAATCACAGACTCGATGTACATCACTTCAACACTCAGCGTCTTTCTACATCAACAGCCCTGCACCATGGACATTCATCTTAACAGGATGATGACAGGGCACTGCAAAATCCTGAATCATCAGAGAAAGAGTGGATGCTGTGCATTCTAGTCTATTTCCTGGAGGTGGGGAAATGGACTAGGACATCTTAGAATGATCTTCAACACTAAGAACAAAAATGCAAAATGGTTTCGGGTCAACCTTCATTAATGTGAAAATGAAATTGATCATAGTCAATCATTCGCTACACATTCTGATTCACTGAGGTTTTATTATGTTATTCTTAAAGGTTGAGCTGACTGTCTTTAAGTAAAGGGGTGTTTACTGAGTCCTTTCTTAGAGTCACAAGTAATAGCATTCACTTAGATAAACCACTATGGAACTTCTTGGGACAAGACTGCCATATACCGAGTGCCTGCTGTGTGCCAGGCACTGTTCTAGGAACTGGAGATACAGCAGTGGACAGACAGACAGTAACCTCTGTCCTCATGTGACTTATGTAGAGGGAGGATACACAGCCAGTAAACAAATAGATAATTAAAATATGTAGCGTGCCAACTGATGGCAGTGCAGGGAAGGGAGATGTGCAGAGGCCTGGAAAGGTGATGATACTTGAGGACAGACCCAAAGGAGGCAATGGAATGCTAAATGGATATCTGGGGGAAGAGCCTTCCAGGTGGATGACCAAGTTCAGAGGCCTGGAGGTAGGAGCATGCCTCACCCATTGGAGGAATAGCAAGGAGGCCAGTGTGGCTGGATCAGAGATCCACTGAGGCGTTGGAGACCGATGAGATGTGGTCTCCTAGGTGAGCAAGAATGCAGGTAATCAGGCAATAAAGGTCTTTCGCCACCGAAGGAACTTTGGCTTTGATTCCAAGAAACATGGGAAGCCATCTGAGGTTGAGCAAATATACATAAAGAGCTTAAAAAGTGCTTTTTGTATTTTAAAAAAAAAGTAGAATCCAGCATCTCTGATGTTATCTTTGCATAACTAAGCTCATTTCTCTATCTCAATATTGATGAGCAAAGCTGCACTTTAAGTCAATAGCTTTACTGGAAGGAAATTGAGAGTGACAGATTGTGAGGTAATAACCACATTGCAATGTGACTTTCTTGTTCTAGCTCTCTGGCCAATAACCACATAAAAGCACTACCAAGGGATGTCTTCAGTGATTTAGACTCTCTGATTGAACTGTAAGTAATGGAATTAAGTTTATGTGTGCCTGTCATTGTGCCCCAGTTAATCATGTCTTTCAATCCCCTCTCGCCTTCCTTTTATGTGTTTATTTTATGCTGTGGCTAAAAATCTATAATAAAGTAGTGCATCCTGGGAAACAGCATACAGTTTGAGTTGTGTTGGATTTTGCCATTTTATGCTTAATGCTCATGAGGCCAGTGGTAAATCACTCCTGGGTGGGAGGTCCCCTCCCTGAGATAGTGCATTCACCTGCTTTATCTTCTAGCGTTTGTTGTTTCTTACTGGATGTAGTGTTTTTTTGTTTGTTTGTTTGTTTTTTCAGACCAAGTCTCGCTGTGTAGCCCAGGTGGAGTGCAGTGGCCTGATCTTGGCTAAGTGCAACCTCTGCCTCCCGGGTTCAAGCGATTCTCCTGCCTCATCCTCCTGAGTAGCTAGGATTACAAGCACCTGCCATTATGCCCAGCTGATTTTTGTATTTTTAGTAGAGACGGGGTTTCGCCATGTTTGCCAGGCTGGTCTTGAACTCTTAACCTCAGGTGATTTGCCCGCCTTGGCCTCCCAAAGTGCTGGGGTTACAGGCGTGAGCCGCCATGCCTGGCCTACAGGGCATAGTTTTAACAAGAGCCTGAAGTTTCGATTGTGTTTGTGAAACCCGTCTTTTTACAACATCTTTATGTTTATGAGAACCTTTGTTGGGGGATGTTCTTCTGTCATCTGTCTCCCATTTCCAGCATGGTGTGGAGACAGCTTCAAGAGCATCTGGAGAGATGATGATATGTCCTCGCTGAGAGCTCTCTGGACATTATGCAGTTAAATCTCCAGTGCTAAGGAGCATTCAATAATGTCAATGATAGATATGAGAAACAGGAGGCATTAAATACAAAATTTTTTAAACTTCATTTTTAGGGGGCCTTAAATATATCACAATGTTAATAATTCTGGAGTTAGGTGTTACACGTCAGACACGTCTATTTCTCTGTGTATGTGTTTGTGTTTTGTTTTGATTTTTAGAGATTTAAGGGGTAATAAATTTGAATGTGACTGCAAAGCCAAGTGGCTGTACCTGTGGTTGAAGATGACAAATTCCACCGTTTCCGATGTGCTGTGTATTGGTCCGCCAGAGTATCAGGAAAAGAAGCTCAATGATGTGACCAGCTTTGACTATGAATGCACAACTACAGGTATTCAGAACCTCAGCAGACATGGATATTTCAAATAATCTCCTCGTCTTTCTTTTAGACTGTTAACGGAAGGTAGGGAAAGTGAATATAGAATTGTTTATCAAAATTGTTTTAGAGAAATTTTAAGCATTCTAAAGAAATGAATCAACGCGGTAAGGAAAATATCTCAAAAGTTAGGAAGAACTTTTTGTTAACTGCCCTGGCTTCAACTGTGCTTCTTTACAAAATTCAAATTTCTCTAAGGGTTTCATTTTCTTAAGTCAAAGTATGAACTCGTGGGTTTGGCATGAGAATGTTGTCAAATCAACCTAGGTTTCATAGGAGGCCAGCACAGAGAGGCCTAAGTTACTCAGTTGAGACTGTTCTCTTGCTTTAGTAAGATGAAGGTCACTGGACATTTAACTAACAAATACCAGACTGTTACACTTTTATTTTTTGAGATGGAGTTTCATTCTTGTTGCCCAGGCTAGAGTGCAATGGCATGATCTCGGCTCACTGCAGCCTCTGCCTCTTGGGTTCAAGCAATTCTCTTGCCTCAGCCTCCCAAGTAGCTGGGGTTATAGGCACCTGCCACTATGCCCAGAAAATTTTTGTATTTTTAGTAGAGACGGGGTTTCGCCATGTTAGCCAGGCTGGTCTCAAACTCCTGACCCCAGGTGGTCCGCCCACCTCGGCCTCCCAAAGTGCTGGAATTACAGGCGTGAGCCACCGCGCCCAGCAAACACCAGACTTTTAAACTTATGAATGACTTTCAGAGTCCCATATAAGAAGAGATAACTAGGTAAATTATAACCAATGGCAAAATAGAAAATAAAAGTTAACAATTAGTTATCAAAGGAAAACAACCCATATTGATGGAAAAACATAAAGAAAGTTTTATTTTGTTTTCCAGGGCCTGACACAAGCTTTCAGTTTATACATTTTTCAGGTTATAAGATAAAATTAAAACACTAACTGCCTCCACTGTCACAACGTGAGGCCCATGGTATTGGTGAGTCTCTCCACCGGAAAGGCTTAGGTGGGTTTTTTACAGCTTCTAAAGCCAGAGAGAGGATCAGGCCACTGTATGAAACCTGCTTACCTGATTTATAAAAATACACATTCAGGCTGAGAGCTGATATCTACAAAGCCTCAAGTCATGTCAGGAGAAGCAGCAGGAATTGAAACAGAAAATAGTTACAGAAACTCAAAAGACACCAAAACTCAAAGAACAAAATATCCCATTTAGGCCAGTCCCGCTACCACCTTCCAACAAATAAGCAAAAACCCACAAAGTAAAAATCATTTCTAGGTATCTTTGTTTGTAAATAAGGGAGCCTACAAGTTCTGTTCTTTTCTGATAAACAACCTGAAATCCCACGGAAATGACATTTTCTTTTATCATCGAATAGGGGCTTATTCAGCTGTGTAATTGGCAGGTGCCCCATAGTCAGCAGAGGCCACTAGGAGGTTAATTTATTGTATTTTAGAGCCAGGGCAATAAATCAGAGGTTGTAGTCAATAACATTTGCACCAAAAGGTGGCATTCAAGACTCTGGTATTAAATGCTAAATTGAATTAAATTTAATTAAACCACAGCTAAACCAGAGCTCACTGAGACTTCTCTCTACCTTTTCTCTATTTTTTTTTTCTGAAGAGTTCTAGAAATGCCAAGGTGAAATTTGCAGATTTTCCATTGTTCTCTTCACACCTGGCCACAGCGTGTGGAAACTTTGCCAATCTCTGATAAAAGTAATGGTCTAGAGGGCCGTGGGAATAGAATATAATTTCTACAAGAAAATATATTGTCTGAATTTAGGGCCCTGGGGATGGTTATAAAAATGATCTAGGCTCTGAGAATTGTTATTGGAATGGAAGTAGCTTGGAACTAAGGTAACCTGTTCTCATCCCAGAGTCCACGGAGCCGCAAGAGAGGCCTTAACACGTTTGAGGGCCTTCTCTGTCGTATGCAGTATTTGTCTTCATGAGCAAGCTTTCTACTAAAATTTACAAAGTCAGCACAAGGCTTTCTGTTGAGAGGGACATGATGATTCTGTCTTTGCCATGGTTTTATCCCTTTAAGACTCATGAACAGATGAGACTCTTGCTGAGAGTTTCTTCCATCAGCTTCTGTGTCTTCATTAAAAGCTAAATGGGGGCATGGGGTGGAGGGGGGAATGAATGAGGATGGATGGAAAACGGAAGGCCAGATTTGAAAGTTTATGGTACAGTTACCGTATTCTTGCTAAAGGTTTGGAAAGAAGCACATTTTCTAGTATGGTTGTTTTCCTTTCAACTCAGATTTTCAGAAAAGGGGTAAGTTTTCTTGTGTCTCACTCTATTTTTTCCCAGAGAGAGGAAGGCCCTGTTACCATTCTGTTCCTTGGCCAAGGGATTTAATTTGCACCACAGAGCCACCATTGGGCTGTTTCAGGTCTTTAGATTAATAGTCTCTTTTGTAACCCTCCCCTTCAAGTCTATTTTTAACCACCTCAAAAGTCCCTGTTACCTACCAATGATTCCCTGTGTTAGGTGAGTAATTCACTGAATTCCTCAGAGGAAGTGAATTTTGCATCCTAATTGTCCTGTTAGCTTCCCCTTTTCAGGGCTGATGAAAATGCAAGGAGAAATAATGCATTAATGTGCAGTTTCTCTCCCGGTAGGATCTGCATCATGTATAATTTATTTTCTGCAAGTGCTATAAATAGCTATGTAAAAATCTGTTGATTCCACTGGGAGAAAGGCCTAAATTGTGAGAGTCCCACTGACATCATGAACTTAATCCAGTGTGAATGGAAGTGGCAGCTCTTTTTGCAGAATGCCATTAATATTTTAACACTAGTAAACTGATGTCATATCAATATGTGTATTTCTGAGATCTTTCCACAAGAACGTGCTTTTGCTGTTTGTGACAAGTAAATTTAGGTGGGGTGGGAGAAGGTATTTAAATTCCTCTGATCCTCTTCTCTGATACCCACGAACGTATATGCATCAATCATTTTCTTTACATTCTCTCTCTCTCTCTCTTTTTTTTTTTTGTTTTGAGACAAGGTCTTCCTCTTGTCATTCAGGCAAGAGTGCAGTGGCACAGTCATAGCTCACTGCAACCTCAGCCTCCTGGGCTCCATCGATCCTTCCACCTCAACCTCCAGAGTGGCTGGGACTACAGGCATGCACCACCGCGCCCCATTAATTTTTTCAATTTTTAGTAAAGGGAAAGTCTTGGTATGTTAGCTAGGCTGGTCTCAAACTCCTGGCCTCAAGCAGTCCTCCTACCTCAGCCTCCCACACTGCCAGGATTACAGGCACAAGCTATCTTGGCTATCTTGCCTGGCCCCATTCTTCTTTTTTCCTTCTCTTCCTCTTCTTCCTTCTCCTTTTTTTGGGGGGTGGGGAGTGGGTTCTTCTATTAAGAGTTAGATTTGTAGGCCAGGCGCGGTGGCTCAAGCCTGTAATCCCAGCACTTTGGGAGGCCGAGGCGGGTGGATCACGAGGTCAAGAGATCGAGACCATCCTGGTCAACATGGTGAAACCCTGCCTCTACTAAAAATACAAAAAAAAATTAGCTGGGCATGGTGGCGCGTGCCTGTAATCCCACCTACTCAGGAGGCTGAGGCAGGAGAATTACCTGAACCCAGGAGGTGGAGGTTGCAGTGAGCCGAGATCGCGCCATTGCACTCCAGGTTGGGTAACAAGGGCGAAACTCCGTCTCAAAGAAAAAAAAAAGAGTTAGATTTGTAATTCAAATGATATAACAATCTGTAATATGCAAGATAGTCAGTATATAGAAAATACTATGAAACCACTATATGGGAAAAATAGATTAAAATAGGGCCATGAAAGGCTAGATTTGTAAAATGCTCTCCGCTGTGACAGCTCTTTTTCATCCTGGGATTCTTCAATAAAAACAGAAACTTTCTAGTCTACGCTTTAAACAGCCTGCCTTTTTAAGCGAATGCTCGTGTTTCTGAGAATGCAGAGGGCAGCAGGGAGGCGAACGGGAAGGAGGAGATGAGTGAGTTACGGGCGTCGCGGGAGTGCTTAGAACTTTTGGCAGACTCGGATGAGTCGAATGCAGCTGGAGATGTAGGAGAGGAGCTTATAGCCGTCTTGGTTGTAATTAAAAGAACGCAGTTGTGCTCTCCAAGTCCTTTATATCCCCAGAAAAGGGAGCACGTGATGACTGCCACCATCTCCCCTTCCTCTGTCTACACGGGAACACAAACCAGCAGAGCCTTGTGCAGTGAACACGCGCTTTCTGGCTTCTACGCTGGTTCTGCCAGTGCCAACAGGAGTGAACACAATGTGACTGTTTTCTGTTTATTTATCTTTGACCAAGCAACTGTTATTTTGGTGGTGGGGGGATCAAGGGGGGCTGTGACTCTTTGCTAAGTCCTCAAGCAGGCAACTGAATACTATCATTGTTGCATACATGAACAATGCAGTGATCACCCTAGCACTGCGGTACGTACTTACATGTACTCTTGCATTTAGTCCTTACGGCAAGCTTAGGAAATAGACATCACCCTCCTTTTACAGATGAAGGAAGAACCTGAGGCTCAATTGTCTTGCCAAAGATCACATAGCTAAAAGTGGCAGGGCAAGAATCGGAAGCCCAGTGTGTCTTATCTCCCAGCCCCAGCCCTTCCCCAGGATGTTCTGCTCTTGACTTGGGGATGAGAAGGTTCCCTGTCCACGAGAGTCACTTGTCCACACTCTCCTCTGTCACCTCCTGCCTGTTGGGTGGCAGAGGCAGCCTCTTCCTTTCTCCTCCCTTTTTCCACATCGGCGTGCACCACTCAGCCTCCGTTCCCTCCCCTGTAGTCTTTAAAGTGGGCTGAGAAGAAGGCCAGGCCACTCACACTGGTTTAGCCAAACTACTCTGCCCCCAGAGTGAAGGGAGGGGCACCTCTAAAAGGTAACACGTGTTGAGCACTCACTTTGTGCTAAGCTGAGTAGGAACCATAATAAACAATGCAGAAACTAAGGCAGAGAGAGGTTAAGTCATTTGCCCAGGAAGGTGGTGGCTCAGCTCCTGCATCTTATCTTAGATGCCATTAAAACAGCCACTTCCTGAAAGGCCCATTGGTAGCTAGGACAGAGGAGGTGAACAGTCCTTTCTCGGACCTCAGTTCCATCTTTTTTTTTTTTTTTTTTTTTTTTTTTTTTTAAGACAGAGTCTTACTCTGTCACCCAGGCTGTAATGCAGTGGCGTGACCTCAGCTCACTGCAATCTCCATCTTCTGGCTTCAAGTGAGTCTCCTGCCTCAGCCTCTGGAGTAGCTGGGATTACAGGTGCCTGTTACCACATTCGGCTAATTTTTGTATTTTTAGTAGAGATGGCGTCTCACCATGTTGGCCAGGCTGGTCTTGAACTCCTGCTCTCAAGTGATCCACCCGCCTCAACCTCTGAAAGTGCTGGGATTACAGGCATGAGCCGCTGCACTCAGCCTCAGTTCCATCTTTATAATGTGCTGAGCCCTGAGGTGGGCATTTGGCATTTCCACCATTATCTGATCTGTCCTTGCTGTCAAGCTTGGGAAGTAAGTGTCACTGCCTTCATAGAGTGAATACATAAACTGAGCCCTTGAGAGGAGAGGTGACCATCCCGGGGTCTCAAGTGTGGGGAAGTGGCCTCAGCTGTCGGCCTCCAGGCACGGGGCTCACTCCTGGGCCCCCTGCTGCCCTCCTGCCCTCAACCCCACCCTGTTGTCCTGCCACCTGACTGTCACCTGCTCTTCCCATTTCTCTTCCACACTTCCCTTTTGACACGTGCTCAGCCCCTCTTAACCCTCTCCTGCCTCTGCTCCTCTTGCACTATCCCCTGTACTCACTACTGAGGGGCCCTTCGTTGACATTCTCATTTGACTCAGTTGACATTCTCACTCTCAATGACATTCTCATTTGGAAGCCTCTTTGATGAGGCTTCCAAATCAGTGGTTGCCTCCTGAGAGGCTGTCACGCGCTTGAGCTGTGGGAGGCTTGGAAAGTGTGGGATCCAGGCCCTGCCTCAGGGAGCCCTTGGTCTGCGAGACACGTCATGCTGGCTGCCTGGCCATAGCCAGACGCTCACCCTCTCTGGGCTCTGGAAAATGGCTCGAGGATCTCAGATCCCTGTAGTATCTCCCGACCGGACTCTAATGTTATTATCTGGCGTCATCATGAATAATAAGATTTAAGCAATAGTGCCTACTTATGAATCCAGGGAGTCAGAAAAGTGTCCCGTGGATTGGACTTGTCAGGGGAGGCTTTTCAGAGACTTGAGTGGAACAGGATAAGGACTAGGCAGAGTGGAGACGGGCAGAGTCAGGATTTCCTCATAAAAGTGACTTTCCTTAGTCAGGCGTCTACCATGACGCCATGTTTTACTGTGGGTGTGTTTAAACTACCAAGAAGCAGTGCACACTGAAGCACCTCTGGCCAAAGAAATAACTTAAACCAGGCCCGGTGCAGTGACTCACGCCTGTAATCCCAGCACTTTGGGAGGCCGAGGTGGGCAGATCACCAAGGTTGGGAGTTTGAGACCAGCCTGAGCAACAAGGAGAAACCCTGTCTCTACTAAAAATACAAAATTAGCCGGTGTGGTGGTGCGTGCCTGTGATCCCAGCTACTCGGGAGGCTGAGGCAGGGGAATCGCTTGAACCCAGGACATGGAGGTTGCGATGAGCCGAGACTGCGCCATTGCACTCCAGCCTGGGAGACAGAGGTGGACTCTGTCTCAAAAAAAAATGTAAACTTTATTTCTTCCTGGGAGACAGAGGTGGACTCTGTCTCAAAAAAAACGTAAACTTTATTTCTTAAACTTTATTTACGTGTGCGTGCACTTTTTGTAGAGGCTCTTTTTTCGCTGGATTTCTCTAGTTACCCCACATGCTTCCAGAGGCCATGCTCACTCTGTTTCTTGGAAATTCTCCATTCCCTACCAAGATTTAATAGTGAGTCAGTTGCAGCTCAGGAGAGCAACGTGGATGAAGAGTTCTGACTTAACACTAAATGCAAGCGTGGCATGCGTGATAAAATAGGAGGGGCTTGGTATTGCTTCAGACGCAATAGGTCTGTTGTAATCTCTTGCGGAGCTGCAGAGTGCTGCACAGCTGTTACCACTGCATTTACCGGCAACTTTCCAGTAACCAGTAACCAGTAAGCAGACCTAGGTTAACTACCCTCCACAGTGGACTTTATAAACCCCTGAGACCGGAGCAGGGGGTCTAGTTTGGTTTCCAACGTTCAGTGTGCCATTTGGGGAGTGTACCATTTATCCTGAACATGCAGTGCCATTTTCTCGCGATGGGTAATCTCAAGCTAGGGGTTATAAGAACTGGAGATACAGGGTCAGGTAAGTTTGAGAAGCACCACATCAAACAAAACAAACAAAACAGACATCTTCCCTACAGGGGCTGTTCTGAGAGGGCTGGAAGTACAGCGTTTTCCAAACTCACTGGACCGTAGCACCCCTCTGTCACACAGCGATTTGTACAGCGGTTTTGAGCACATTGCTGTGTGGGGTTTCGTCCGTCTTCTGACTTTGAATGCCAGGCCTCACCAAATATGTTTACAACTTTGAGATCCTTTAGCCAGACTTGGGAAGCTGTTTCTCCACAGGAAGCTGTACTAGAAGCTGTGCATTCCATCTGATAATGCTGTGCAAGCCAGAACTTTTTCTGGAATGTTCCAGAGTCAAATACGCTGTGATGTTTGTGCGGCTTCCCTCCGGCCTCCTCCTTCTTCTCCCCCATCCTTTTCAGAACTAGTGTGATGATGGAAAGGTGATGGTGCTTGGTCATTCCTGCAAGAGATTTTATGAACCCTTTTCTTTTTAAACACCTGTTCCCAGATTTTGTCGTTCATCAGACTTTGCCCTACCAGTCGGTTTCAGTGGATACGTTTAACTCCAAGAACGATGTGTACGTGGCCATCGCGCAGCCCAGCATGGAGAACTGCATGGTGCTGGAGTGGGACCACATTGAAATGAATTTCCGGAGCTACGACAACATTACAGGTGTGTTGTGGCTTTGATGGGACGTGTTGACCTGATTTCAGCATTGCTGCAAGCCGGTGAGAGGAGGAATACCCTGTGTATCGAGGGCGAGCTCGGCTTTGTAGCTTGGTTGAGCTGGGGAGCACGTCGCAGCCTACCCTCTTGGTCTCTCCAGTTTTTGTCTTGGTGTGGTCAGTTACTGAGAGAGTGGAAACCTCAGGCTGTGTTGCTGCTTATTACTGACGATCATTTTGGAAAGGGAGAGGGTGACGGGTCGCCTGTGGTGGGAGGCGTTTCCTAATAGTGGTGAGAAGTCACACTGAGAATCCCTTGTCCTGAGCTGTATGGCAGACCAAGACTGCATCAGCTTTGTAACAGCTAAATGTTGCTTTGACTTCCCTTAAGCTGATTGTTAACTAATATGCTAACACACACACACACACACACACACACACACACACCCTGTAGCTTGTTCCTAGTGCCCTTTGCTAAGTCCTGGTGATCACTGCTTTCTTTTAATAAGTACATACAAGGCTGGGTGTAGTGGCTCACGTCTATAATCCCAGCACTTTGAAAGGCCAAGGAGGGCAGATCACGAGATCACGAGATCAAGAGATCAAGACCATCCTGGCCAACATATAGTGAAGCCCCATCTCTCCTAAAAATACAAACATTAGCTGGGTGTGGTGGTGTGTGCTGGTAGTCACAGCTACTCAGGAGGCTGAGGCAGGAGAATCACTTGAATCCGGGAGATGAAAGTTGTAGTGAGCTGAGATCGCGCCACTGCACTCCAGCCTAGTGGCAGAGCAAGACACCATCTCCAAAAAAAAAAAAAATACATACAAAATAAGAATAAATGGATCCCTAAATGAGGCATGTGGGATATGAATTGGTTAATGCTTCTTTCAGTGCCATCATGGAATACCACTGCCTTAGCGCTACTAAATACGGACTGTGTACTCGCTTTTGAAATAATCTTTGAAAGATTTCTCATTTATCAAAGTGCAATCTGACAATAATTATCACCCAGGAGAGGGTTTCCTTTCGAGGTTCCTGATGCGGCCTTAGAGTAGTTGCAGCAAGAAGCATATTCAGGTAGAATTTCTGGGTTGGGAGGCTCCTAAGAGTCTCTCAGGCACCAAGTGGCTTCACGGCAGGTACGGGGATGCGGGGAGGCAGGGAGCGCTGCTAATGAGCCTTATCTCACTGTGTATCTCAGTGTGGGATGTACATCGGATGCTCCGAGGATGCCGTTTCAGATGAGTTGGCCACCGTCGGGCCATCTGGCTTCCCAGTGCTGAGCTCACCTTCCGGAGAGTAGCCCTCTTGGAAGTGCAGACTCAGCACAGAGCGGCACAGGCGAACCTGCCGTGGAAGCCAAGAACACGGTAGATGGGGCAGTGAGTCCATGTCCACGTGGTTTTGTGCTTCCCTCTTTGTCCTGACATGGAAGGTAGGGGAGGGAAGGATGGCCAGCCTCTCTGCCTTTTCTCCCTCTCTCTAGGGTTGGAGATGGGAGCAGAGTGAAGGTTTGTGGTTTTTGTTTTGTTTTGTTTTGTTTTGTTTTGTTTTGTTTTGTTTTGAGATAGACTCTTACTCTATCACCCAGGCCAGAATGCAGTGATGCAGTCTCGGCTCATCGCATCCTAGAACTCCTGGGCTCAAGGGATCCTCCTGCCCCAGCCTCCCAAGTAGCTAGGACTACAGGCACATACCACTGCACTCAGCTAATTTTTTTTTTTTTTTTTTTGTTGTATATAGGGCTCACTACAATGCCCAGGCTGGCCTCAAACTCTTGAGCTCAAGGGATCCTCTTTCCTCAGCCTCCCAAAGTGCTGGGATTACAGGCATGAGCCACTGTGCCTGGCTGGGCTTTGCTCTTGGCCAAGGAGTTCCAATGCCGATGTTGGCTGTGAGCCCGTGAGGTGCCAGGCCCTAGTTTATCCCATTGGAAGCTGACAACAGCCCTTGAAGTTATACCTGCCCCTATGTTAGAGGACAAAAGCTCTCTTCTCCAGAGAGAGGAGGCGTACAGACAAGAAAGAGCTCAGGTTTTGAAAACTGACGAGCACAGATTGTACTCCCAACTCTGCCGTGGACTAGCAAGTACCTGTGCCTTGGAGGCTTGGTTTTCTCATCTGGGAAATGGGGAGTAGATGAGCCTCGGATGGATGTTGTGAGGATTTGCTGAGTGCCCAGAGTAGGCGCTTCTCAAAGCCGCCATCCTTTTCACAACCTTATAAGTGATGAGATAAAGACGCAGGTGTGTTCAGTCACCCACTGTTTATTCAGGGCAGGGCACGGGGTTTCTCATAGTTGTACACCACTGGTTTTTTCTCCCAGGTTGACCTTGGTCGGACAGCGCTGTCTTTCACCTCCCCTTCTCACATACTGAAGCTGGTGACGTTCTTAAATTCATTCATTCATTCACAGAGATTTCTTGAACACTTACTCTGAGCCAGGCATATTCCTGGTGCTGGGGACACCGCAGTGATAAACCAGATAAAACTGTGCCCTCAGGAGTTTCCATTCTAATGGGAGAAAGAGACAAGAAGAAAGGATATTGGTACTGTAATAATTATTGCAAAAATAATTGTAGTATTTAAAAAGCACATCAGGCAGAAACGTGGTAAGGAGGGGAAATGAAGTGAAGAAGGAAGATGTGGAGTACTGTGTGTGGGAGGATTTGAAGGCTTGGGCAGAGTGGCCAGGAGAGGCCTCATCAAGAAGGTGCTACTTGAATAAGACCTGTGGGATCGGAGGGATTGGTCCCCACCATGGAGAGCTGGGGGAAGAGCATTCCAGGCAGAGGGAAAAGCAGGTGCACAGGTCGAGAGGCAGGAGAGTGTCCTTCCTGTTTGAAGAACATCAGGAGGATGGTTTGGCACGAGCAAAATGGGCCAGGGGGGAGTTGCAGTTGATGAGCCGGAAGTCAGAAGGGCAGAACACGGAGTCTCATAGGTACTAGGAAGGACTTGGCTTTTCCTCAGAGTGTTTTTGTGCAGAGGCAGGAAGATGCAGGTACCTGGCACAGAGGCTGGATTGTGTCCAGCTACCGGGCCAAACATAGCCTTTTGGAGTGAGGGCAAAGGTGGAAACACAGTGACTGGCTAAGAGGCTATGGCAAGAATCTGGAACCCAGGCAAGCGAGGGTGGCCCGGACCCAATGGAGGCCACAGAGCTGGTGGGGAGGAAGTCAGTGCGATCTGAGTGGGTGTGCTTGGGGCCAGAGCCCTGCTGGACCTTGTTCGTTTCCAAGGATTCCTCAGCCTCTCAGTCTCCAAGTCTGAGTCATCCTGCAGCTCGGCGGCCATGACATGAAGCCCACCCGGCTCCTGTTTTCACCATCAAGCCCAAGAAATGAGTTCCAACATCAGACTGGCTTTTCATCCGGCTCCAGCTCTTACTAGCTGGTGGCAGTAGCCAAGTGATTTAATGGGCATGAGCCCCTTTCATCTGTAAAGTGAGGATTTGAGGAATTTCCATTTCATCTGTAAAATGGAATCAGCATAGTATTGGACTTAGGGAAATACTATAAGGATTTTTTTTTTTTTTGACAGAGTCTCACTCTTGTTGCCCAGGCTGAAGTGCAGTGTTGCCATCTCAGCTCACTGCAACCTCCACCTGCCAGATTCAAGTGATTTTCCTGCCTCATCCTCCCGAGTAGCTGGTGCTACAGGCATGCACCACCACGCCTAGATAATTTTTGTATTTTTAGTAGAGGTGGGGTTTCACCATGTTGGCCAGGCTGGTCTTGAACTCTTGACCTCAGGTGATCCACCCTCTTTGGCCTCCCAAAGTGTTGGGATTACAGGTGCTAGCCAACATGTCTGGCCAATACAATAATGACCTAATGGGGGTAAAATAGGGGCAACCCTCTTTTCCACCCCCACAGACTCTACCGTTTTTGATCTCCATTAAAACTGTTCCACAACTTGCACGAGCGGGGGAATGCAGAGACTGGCAGACTGCCCCGAGGGAGGTAGGAGGCTGTGCTACAGAAGGAAGGGGGATTGCTCCGTGGAGGAAGGAGAGGAGCTGTCTCTCGGTAGCTGGCATTGAGCCTGGCATGAGGGAAAGCCCTATAGCACACATAGGTAGGCCAGGACACTGCCCTGGGCGCCACTGGCCTTAAAGAATAACGAGATAAATGTGGACCATTCTCTCTCCCTGGGCCATGGATACCTCATTTGACATCTTGTTTGGCCATAGGTGGTCCTAGAGTTGGCAAGGGCAGGGCAGGATTTTCTCAATCCATGTACTTCCTCCTTTGCATCCCTGGTGACTATGTTGCAAAAGGGACGGCTCCAGCTGTCCATGTGCCCCCAAGGGAGAGAGAAACCCGTGGTCACTTTCACACTGAGGCTCCTTCCCCTTGTTCTCTCTACACCTCATCTCAGCTTTCTCAAGTTTGGTCTATTTGTTCGCCTGTTGATTTCTGCAGGCTAAGTATGTTCCAACCTATAATCCCTCTTCACACACACACACACACACACACACACACACACACACACACACAATGCTCTGTCTGCTACTGACAACTCCATAGCCTAAAAGTGTCTACCTGGACAGTGTGTCACAGAGCACCTCCAGGAAAGGTATTCCTTCCGTTTCACGTGGTCTTTTGGCTGTGGCAGGCAGACCTCTAGGATGCTTCTGGAGAGTGGTGGCCTCCGTAGCTGGGTGCTCCGGAAGGGGACGAGGAGCCTGCACTCTCAATTGGTGTTGGTAGGATGGAAATCAATGCTGCTTTGAAGAGCAGTTTGGCAATTAAAACCCAAAAGCTTAAAAACGTACCCAACATTTGCCCCAGCAATTCTTACACTGGAGAACACTGCCAGATGGTATCCAAACATGTTATTTAACAATATTTTAGAGAAAATGTTATTTTACAATAAGGAAAAGCTAGAAATAACTGCAATGTCCAACAGTAGGGCATTAATTAAACAAAATATGGTGCATCCATGCAATGGCATGCTGTGTAGTGCCAAACATATCAAATTGTTGAAGAATCATCAACATGAGGCAATGTTCACAACATGGGCACATTGTAATCCCAGCTCTTTGGGAGGCTGAGGCAGGTGGATCACAAGGTCAAGAGATTGAGACCATCCTGGCCAACATGGTGAAACCCCTCTCTACTAAAAATACAGAAATTAGCTGGGCGTGGTGGCGCATGCTTGTAGTCCCAGCTACCCAGGAGGCTGAGGCACGAGAATCGCTTGAACCTGGGAGGGGGAGGTTGTAGTGAGCTGGGATCTCACCATTGTACTCCACCCTGGAAACAGAGTGAAGTTCTCAAAAAAATAAAATTTAAAAATAAATAAATAAATAAAATATATATGGATAGCATAAGTCCCAATTTTTAAAAAAAGAGTATTTGGATATGTGCATAGATTAAAAATTAAACAGTATATCAAGCTATTAAGTGTGATTTCACATTTGTAGTACAACTGGTTTGTATGTTCTTCTCTGTACTTTTGGTTCCTGGGTGGTAGAGTATAGACTGAGGCCAAACCACCTGGATTGAAATCTCAGGCTCTACCATGTACTAGCTGTGTGACTTTTTATAAATTACTTAACTCCTCTGTGCCTCAGTTTTACCCTTTGTAAAATGGGGATGATGATGATGATAAGAATAGAGCATGCCTCATTTAGTTGTTATAAGGATTAACTACGTAAGTGCATGTAAAGTGCTTAGAGCAGTGCCTGGTCACACCTACGCGCTTTCTAAGTTTTACCTCTTGTTATTTTCAATATTTGCTTTGGTCAACATTTAACACACATACCCTCAGGGAAAAAACAGTGCAATAGTTTTAAACAAGGAAAAGGGATTAGGTCCTTGCAGGAAGGCCAGAATGGTGAAAGAGGATCTGAAAACCACCCAGTGTCTGCCCTTAAAGCCAATCCTTAGGGTAGAAATGGAATAAAATTATCTGTAGAATTTAGGATTCTGGCCAAATTCACTTGGTCCAAATTACCTAGAAAATTAAAGGAAAGAAATAACCTTTAATGGAATGATCTAGATGGAGGATCAGTAGTCTTATAGGTGGTCCCTTGCTTAGTGGTTGGTCTTCCGGAATGGGGAGGTCTGGGGGGCATCTGGGCACAGGGTGAGAAAAGATGGTGGGAGGTGAGCCAGAGAGGAGAGTCACGACGGAAAATGGTCCTGTCTCTGTAAAGTCTTAGTTTTATGACACCTGAGCTTGGTCATTCAGACGATTGCTCCTTCTCTAGATAGTTATGCAGTGCCCACTATGGGCAAGCACTAAGGGGCAAGGTCTTGTGATTATCATGACATTTGCTTCAGTTGTTCAATAATGATAGCCACTAATGAACCACCACCTCCTGTGTGCCGGTGCTCCATGCTAAATACACTTGCCATGAATGGCTTCATGTCGTCATTACAGTCACGTGTAAGATCTGAGCTGGTAGCATCTTTAATCTCATTTTACGAATGAGAAACTGGAGCACAGAGCATTGGGTTAACTGGCACAGGGTCAGAAAGTTTACAAGGTGCAGGGCTGGGTTTTGAACCCTAGGCCACCTGACCTGTATCATCAGGTTTAACCCCCCTCTTTCTGCCTCCACTGGGCTTCCTTTAGCTCTGGAAATCAAAACAGTCCAAATATCTTCATGAACACTCAGAAATCTTTTTTTTCTCCTGCCTCTGAGACCTCACTCTTACGTTTTTACCACCCCTTACCCCCCAACCCCACCCCAGGAGAAGAAGCATGTTTAACTGCCTCCTGCCATATGGAGTCAGGAAATACTTTTTTTATTTTTCAAGGATACACATTTTTTAACTGACAAATAAAAATTATATGTATTTGTTTGTGTATAACATCTTGTTTTGAAATATGTCTACATTGTGGAATGCCTAATCAAGCTAATTAATGTAGCTTTATTCAAAAGTATGACGATAACTCCTTTGGTGCATTAGTGAGTCTCCTGAATTGCATGTCTGCCTCTGAAGACTCCAGAGGCCCTGATGACCTCACTTAGCCATTTTTATGAAAGCACATTTTTGAACAATTGAAATTTTTTTTTAATTGTGGCAAAATACACATAGCAAAAAATGGCTAATTAAGCCACTTTTTAATATACTATTCAGTGTGTTAGGTACATTCACATTGTTGTACAACCAACCTCCAGATGCTTTTCACCTTGAAAAACTGAGACTCTGTGCCATGAAATGCCAACTCCTCATCTCCCCCATCCCACAGCCCCTGAAATCCACTCCTTTACTTTCTGTCTCTATGCATCTGACAACTCTAGGTACCTCATATAAGTGGAATCATATAGGATTTATCTTTTTGTGACTGGCTATTTTATTTAGCCTAATGCCCTCAAAGTCCTTCCATGTTGTAGCTATATGTCAGAATATTCTTCCTTTTTAGGGCTGAATAATATTCTGTTTTATGTATATGCCACATTTTATCTATCCATTCATCTTTTGGCTATTGTGAAGGATGACGTTATGGGTTTCTTAGTCTATTTGGGCTGCTGCAACAGAATACCATAGACTGAGGGCTTATAAGACACAGAAATTTATTTCTCATAGTTCTGGAGCTGAGAAGTCCAAGATCAAGACACTGGCAGATTTGGTGCGTGGCAAGAACCCAGTGTGTAGCTGGCCATCTTTTTGCTGTGTCTTTATGTGGTAGAAGGGCAGAGGGAGTTGGAAGGGCACTAATCCCTTTCCTGAGGATTCTGGTCCCATGACCTAATCACCTCCCAAAGGCCCCACCTCCAAATACCATCACATTGGAGATGAGGTTTCATCATATGTGTTTGGAGAGAGCACAGACATTTGGTCTATAGCGTTAGGTGTACAGATAATCTCTTGGAGTCACTGCTGTCAATTATTTCGGGTATATACCAAGAAGTGGAATTGCTGGCTTATAGGGTAATCCCATGTTTAATTGTTCAAGGAAGCACTGTACTGTTTTCTACAGTGGCTGTGCCATTTCACACTCCCAGCAGCAGTGTACAGGAGTACCAGCGGAGGTGCCTTTTTAGCTGGTGTTGCACTAATCTCATGTCCTTTATTTTGGAGCACAGGTCAGTCCATCGTGGGCTGCAAGGCCATTCTCATCGATGATCAGGTCTTTGTGGTGGTGGCCCAGCTCTTCGGCGGCTCTCACATTTACAAATACGACGAGAGCTGGACCAAATTTGTCAAATTCCAAGACATCGAGGTCTCTCGCATTTCCAAGCCCAACGACATCGAACTGTTTCAGATCGACGACGAGACGTTCTTTGTCATCGCAGACAGCTCGAAGGCTGGTCTGTCCACAGTTTATAAATGGAACAGCAAAGGATTCTACTCGTACCAGTCTCTGCACGAGTGGTTCAGGGACACGGATGCGGAGTTTGTTGACATCGATGGAAAATCGCATCTCATCTTGTCCAGCCGGTCTCAGGTCCCCATCATCCTCCAGTGGAATAAAAGCTCCAAGAAGTTTGTCCCCCATGGTGACATCCCCAACATGGAGGACGTACTGGCCGTGAAGAGCTTCCGCATGCACAACACCCTCTACCTTTCCCTCACCCGCTTCATCGGGGACTCCCGGGTCATGAGGTGGAACAGTAAGCAGTTCGTGGAGATCCAAGCTCTTCCATCCCGGGGAGCCATGACCCTGCAGCCCTTTTCTTTTAAAGATAATCACTACCTGGCCCTGGGGAGTGACTATACATTCTCTCAGATATACCAGTGGGATAAAGAGAAGCAGTTGTTCAAAAAGTTTAAGGAGATTTATGTGCAGGCGCCTCGATCTTTCACAGCTGTCTCCACCGACAGGAGAGATTTCTTTTTTGCATCCAGTTTCAAAGGGAAAACAAAGATTTTTGAACATATCATTGTTGACTTAAGTTTGTGAAGGTGTGGTGGGTGAAATTAAAAGACATGTAGCATTAGCTCTCGCAAGAGAGGACCAAGAGAAATCAACAAACCAGTCAAAGTCAGGCTCGGAGCTCTGAAATTAAAAAGCACTGAAATAGACTTTTTCAAATTTTTAGAACTCACATTTTAATCAGGGATTGCATTTATTGGCTAACTGCATGACATGCCCATTCTACCATTTAAACAAAACATCTTAAAGCTTGTAATTTCTGAGAAAAGAGTACAGCATTTACTCTTCCCATCTAGAAACGTAATATGCTTTTCTTTCCCTTTTTAATGAGGAAGGAGAAAATTGATAAGATGGGACAGCTCTTATGATGAAATAAAAAAAAAAAAAACTTTGAGCCCCTCTCATTCCACTTTAGTAATCTTTTTGGTAAGAACTCTTAAAGCCAAAAGTCAGCTGGAAAGATTTGCTGATTATTAGTTTAAAAATCTTGTAACACTCAGCAGTGCTATTTTGAGTCATTGCAGTTTCTTGAAAGTAATGCCCGGTCTTCCTGAGTCCTTAATAGCAGAATGTTGGTGATTTTGTTGGCTCATATGAATACTTGTCCTGGGTATGTTAACAATTTAATGTTTGGCATTGCTTCCTCTGCCACAGAGAAAATATTCTGGTGTCACATGTCTAGACCCAGCACAGGCTGTAGGCCCAGGAGCGAGACAAAGGCGTTTTTTCCTCTTTCCTACCATTCAAAGCTGACCCTAGTGGTGGCCGGAGCAGTAAAGCTTGTGTGATGCTCTTCGTGGCTCATCTGCTTCTCTGAACCCGCCCTTTGAGTCTGTGGGTGACCAGCACACAGGCCAAAGACTGAATGGTGCTTTTCATTTTGTCCTTTACAGGGATGAAACAGTTATTTCCATCTGATGAGCCTTTGGTAGCATTTTTGAAGTGAGATTTTACGGAGTCAAAGGGGACTTTACACAGATCTCGGCATGCTTTGAAACCTAGAGGTGGCCGTTTGATTTGTGCGTGTCCTTGCCCTCTGGATGACTTAATATTTCAAGTCATTGAATACCAACTTCCCTGCCGGCCCACCTGCCTTCCTCCCCACCGTAACAGTCCTGTTTTGTTGAGTTGCTGCTGTTGCTGCTGCCAGAGCAGCCCACACCAAACCACAACCCAAGACACTCAGATAGGAATGCTCCTCCCTCTCCCCACACTCTACCAAAGGAAACGCTCCAGGACGCACGTGCTCACAGGAGACCATGTGTTGGTTGTGGAGTCAGCCTGTGCAGGCTGGGGGCTCTCAGGCTAATCAGTAGGGACCAGCTTTGGAGCCAGCCAAGCTGAATCCCACACTCCGAGTCTGTGCTCAAGAAACCAGATGGCATATTTCCAAATGGGCCTCTCTGATACACACAATAGGGAAGCTCGTGGGGAACCGTTGTGTGGAAGGTTCTTAGTGGATATTCTGCCTGGTTAGCTGGTTCTCTTCAGAGAATCTAAAGTGAATGCCTTTGGGGTAGCTCTGGGAGAGAAACCCAACAACTTCACTCCTAGCCATGAAAATAGCACGATCATATTGTACTGTATTGTTATTTTAAAATGATTATTTGCCATGTCATGAGTAGGTAGATGTTTTGCCACAAATATGAATGTGTTTGTTGTTTCCTGACTTTAAGCAATGCAGACGGAGGCAATAAATAGCACTCAGAGAATGAGGCATTGATGTTACTTCAGCACTCTTGGGTATGTTCTGGGACTACTGTAGGCTGAGGCTTCCAGCCTCAGAAACCGCAGATTTTAATGAACGAACTCACCCACACACATAGTAGTGTTGTTACTTGAAACGTCTGCAAAATACCAAGCAAACAGGAGAAAAGTGGTTTGTTTTCATATTTAAGTGCAAATTACTTTCTTCTGCTTTTTCTTTTTTTTTTTTCTGCCTTCTTGGTTTATTTGAACAGGCTACAAATGCCCAGGTCTCCACCTTGGAGGCTGAAAGGGGACAAGCCCTGCCATTCCTCCAGCCCTAAAGATGGCAAGCTCTTCTTTCTGTTGCATGGAACCCCTCAGACAAACCTGGGTGGAAAAATGCGTACTTGGCAAACTGTAGGAGATATTTAGACAGCCCCAGCAACTGTGTCAGATCAAAGTGATGTTCCCAATTCCAGCCACCTGTAGGGATGGCAAGGTGGCATCTTTTCACAGTGTTGCCACTGCAGAGAGGTATCACATTCCCAGCTGCACCTCTGAGGGGAAATTGGCCACTGAACCCCTGCACTCACTATTCTGATCATGCCGCCAGATTCTGGGAAACCGGGAAACACAGGGCACCGGGCTTAGGATGGGGAGAGTTGTCGAGTCCAGATGGGGAATGAGGGGGTGAAAGAATGATCTAAACAGGTGACGGGTGAGGGCTGAGAAGTGGGGGACCCACTCAACTGCAGTCAGCTTTTCCTTTTTTATAATTTTATTTTATGCAGGACTAAAGCCTTCAATCTATAGAGTGCCTATTTCTGTGGGAGGAGATATTTGTTCTGGCCAACTTACTAAAGGAGCATAAATGCTCTTGGCACAGGGTGGCAAAACCTTTGCTTCGTTAATCTTACTGCTCCGTCCCAAGAATCTCTGAAGTTTTAAACAATTTCTGCAAGAACCATTCTTCCAGTAATAATGTAAAACAAAAAAACCAACCAAGCAAGAGCAAAAGTGCAAAGCAGAGAAATACATGGACCGTCCCCAGCGGAGATCAGCTTAAAGGAAGGGACAGATCTTTCTTCTGCTTTCCCTCCCATCACCCATTGGGTGGTCATCTGCTCAGCTTGTCTGTTCATGAGCTCTGTGGCTAGGCTCCTGGACTGATCCCTCTGTGCAGCTATGTGGCTTTAAGGCCTTTCCGTAAAGGGGAGACTTGTCCCCATACTCCATAGAGTCAGGAATGAGTCTGTTACCAAGACTCTAAGAATAAACCTTAGATGTGAAGAGCACTGTGTTCTTGGACAGTGGGTAATGAGGCCACCTTACATTTTAGCAAAGCTTTATATTTTTCCAATGCACATTGATATTCACCTCATTTGTTCATAAATAGTTCTGTAGTTTATTGCAGGGCAGGTATTATTCTAATTTCAGAGAGAAGGGAATAGACATGAAAACTATATAAATTGCCTGCCCACAGTTATCCAATCGGGACTGGCAAAGCTAGAACTTTTCCTCTGATCAGCAGATGTTGAATTTTCTTTCTAAGGCACCTTGCTATACTCTCCCAAAGAAAGACCTTCATTTCTATCATGATTTTGAATTTGGCAGCACCTTGAGATAAAGTAACAAGTGCAGTAAAATATGCATAGCCAGAAGAAAAATCATGCTGAATAGACACCATTCAATCAACCGATCCATTTAACAATGAACAAACATGCTATTACATGCAAGACCCCACTCTTGAAAGTCTTCCAGAAATTTTGGATAGCTTTCTGTTGTTCTAAGGAGGATTTCTAGCTGGTCTGGCTTTTTCTCTCCCTGCATAGCCATGGGAGGGACGTTGAGGTTGAAGCACATCTGGTTCTTGTCACAATGTCCACCAGATAAACAAGAAGAGATCTGTGTAGGAAAAATTCAAACCCTGAACGCACGAGCAGTGATGGATTGCTCTCAGCCATCAACACCCTTCGGGGAGCACACTGAAAATGGCAGAGTTGCATTTTTCTTCCCCATGGAGTGAGAGGCTGTGTATTTTTAGGAAAGAAATCAGCGTGGGATGCCGGAGGTTTGACGGCCAGGAACGCTCATGATGGAAATTTCTCCAGCCTGGGATGTAATGACGGGAAGATGACGTTCTGCAGGAGGGGATGTTTGCATGTCACCTAAAGAAAATCTCTTAAGCTGGCTTCCTGATTCTTCCGCAGAGGTATCAGCCTCTCCTTCACAGCTGCGGAAGGAAGTTCTTTAATTAGGCAGTGGTCAAAGATTCTGTTCAACAGCTTCCTGGAGTGGAATACAATAATCTAGTTGTATGCAATGACGCAATGAGAAAGTGGTCCAGATTTGGGTGGCAATGGAAAGGGAATGGCAAAGTGGGGCAGATGGCTCTGGAGGAAGCTTGGGAAAGTGAAAACAAACTAAAAGAAAGGGGAAAAAGGATAATGATTTCCTTTGCCTCAGCCAGGCAAGCAGAGAGTAGAATGACCAGGAAAATTAACAGCATCTCAGTTATTAATGAAGAGAAGAACTGTAATGCTCATTCAAATAAGAATTATATTGTAAAGCTACTGAGATCTAAAGGAAGTCATTATTATCCTTACTGTATTCCATTGCCTGTAGCAAAACCTATTATCTTCTAGTAGGAAACATTCTCTATCCCTTTGACTATCAGGAAGGTATAAGAATTGTGATAAAATAGGCCAATATGCTATTTGGTACCATTTTTATGTATTTTAAATGCATAACCTAGATAAAATAAGAATAGTTTCTATGTGTAAAGAATCAAGTTTTACAGTATGCAGACTACAATGGATGTATTTTAGGCTGTATATATATTTAGCTGTTTTTGGTAAATAGAGTGTGCAAACGATATGTCTCTTAATGCAATGTATTCGGTAAGCCTATGAATAAAAAGTGGTTCATGTCTAATATGGCTTTCATCTCTGGTCTGCTTAATATGAATATATCCACTTGAGTCACAGATTTGCAGGGACACCCATGGGCCACTGAGGGACAGCAGTATATCTGCAGCTCACTCTCTGTTTAGATGGAAGGTGACCACTATAAGGGTCTTTTGCTTCTTCTACTCGGAAACTTAAAAAACACTCAAAAGTCACTACAGATTCACTGAAGAGCTTCAGGTTACACTCTGCCTGATCTGTGGAATTATAATCCCGATAGGTTGACAAAGAATTCTAGGAATCTGAATATCTTCCAATTCTGCCAGGTAAGGAGGAAGTGAGATGGTAAGACTTCATTGGTTGGGTTGAACCATCATGGATGCCTGAGGACAGAGCTTTTGTCTTGTCCTCTGCACATCTGGGGTCTACCCTGGCACACGGTAGGCATGCAGTGTTTGCCACATATATCTTCATCTAACACCCATCTGATTTAGTTGAACAAGTGAAGCCTCAGAAACCCAAATCACATATGACTGTGTACTCACTGTGTGTCAAGTACTTCCATATGCCATGGGGCTTTTGAAAATCTTCAAGAACAAAGTTCTTGCCATCAAGCAACTTAAAATCTATGTAGTTAAGAGGGAAAATAATAAATGCATGATGCTATAGTCAACAATACAAGGTTTAGGTAAAATTCTGTATCACAGTCTAGGCACAGTGGCTCACACCTGTAATCCCAGCAATTTGAGAGGCCAAGGTGGGAGAATCACTTGATCTCAGCAGTTGGAGAACAGCTTGGGTCACAAAGAGACTCCATCGCTACAAAAAATACAAAATAGCTGGATGTGGTGGCATGCACCTCTCGTCCCAACTACTCAGGAGGCTGAGGCAGGAGGATCCCTTGAGCTCAGGAGTTTGAGGCTGCAGTGAGCTCTGATCATGTCACTGCACTCCAACCTGGATGACAGAATAAGACCCTCATCTCTAGAAAAGAAAAATCTGCATCACAAAAATCACAAAACAGTGTGTAACTAATTATGCAATGAATGAAACAGTTAGCTGTAATAACCAAAGAGTTCATCACCTTTCTCTATTCTACTGGTTTGAAGCAGGTCAAAGTTTGCGTCCTCAAAGAGAGGAGATTATACAAGAATGTGATTCAGGGATGCAAGAAGTCACCTGAAGGTGTGTCCACCACAGGCACAACCAAACAGTGTGAATGCCTGCCTGCTCAGAATAGACACCAACCATAAGCAACCATCCACCTGGACCTAAGGCATTCCAGTGGAATCTGAGTGCTAATACAGACAATAAATTCATGTGAGGAAAGGTTATGTTAGGTCAGGAGAAGTACCCTTCTAACCATTTTGACGAGAACAGCCTGGTTTCTTTTCATTGTTGTTTTACCATTGAATCATTGTTTTGTGTTTGTGGAGAAATACAGAAAAGAACTAAAGTTTTTCAGACCCGCAAGTCAGAAACTCATCAAAGCAGAGATTAATCCTAATATCTCAGTGCATTTCATCTTGGAACTAAAATGCTCCGTATAAATTGCGCAGAGCTGACCATGTACCCATTAGTGAGGCAAGTACACTTATTTTCTCTGTGTCTTGGAGAGTAAATTGAGGGCTGAGAAGAATTGGAGGCATAAGTAATGTGTCACTTTCATTGATCTCCTGTCCTTGCAATTGGCTTCTGTACCTGCCTCCTAGACAGAACAACACTTTCCTAACCAGGGTCTAATTGGCACAAATGATTTTTCTCCGACAAATTGGTAGCAAAGCTGAGACAGAAGGCCTGGGACAAACCTTATGCTCTTGGCCTCTGCTCCAGGCAGCCTCTTACAGAACATGAGTTTCTCCCACTCCTGCCATTAACCAGACAGCAAACCAAAGCAATACAGGGGAAAAGAGGCCAGTAGTCATGGAAAGGCTACCCCAGAATCTCCGGCACCTGCTGGAATCTGTATGTGGGCCCCAAAGAGCATGTTTCTGCACACACCTCCAGGTTTCTACCCCAGAAATCCACACAAAGAGAGAAAATCCAGCTAAGTTATCTTCCTCTTCCAAGAAACAATTGTTAGGGAAGGAGAAACAAGTCTAGATCTCTGTGCCTTATCTCACACCATTCATCAGCCACAGAAAGGATGCAGGGCTCTGATGAGCACCTCCCGTTTTGCAGCTAAGAGATTTGAGGTGGTGCTGCCAGCCCGTCCGTTCTGCCATCTCCCTGTTTTCTTTCAAAGGTGGTGTAGGCTGCAGAGCCTATGGAAGTAGGGATGGGACCTCAGAGGAAGTGACACTCTTGATATTTGTCCTGGGCATGG